AAATTAGGTAGTTTGATAACCTTACTCATTATGGATTTACAAATTACACATTAAAAGCTACAACACATTTATGTCTTGTAACAACAACACTCAAAAAATATTTATCCATTATTTTAACTTGAAGCTTTCCCATTTTGGCTACTTTATATCGATTTCTTTCTCTTTAAGCATCTCTTCTAACAATTAAAGATTTGTCTCAATATGCAAACCAGTGCTCTCGCTCGTTTCTGCGTGCTTTATGTCCTAACTTGCCAACCTCTCCACAATGTACCTATGTGGGTTTACTTGATCTGGTAAAAGTTAAATAGTCCAAAACCCTGCAACAGACGTGAAGACAAATCATCACTATGTCTGAAAGTAACTTTACAATATCAGACAAAAGGTTTAAATAAGCCTCTTATTTAAAAAGGAACTTAGAACAGGCATAAAGGCATTTTCCTGATGCTAACAAAGTCCAATTACAGCTCACGGTGGACATAATTAAACAAGAACAGTTTAAATTCAAACTAAAAATGTGGACTAGCGGTCAAAGATTATACAATTTAATTTGGCTCAGTAACTCTATCATATGAGGAAATAGAAATGGGAAATTATAGTAAAGGCTCAAATCATAAACAATTGGGTAATTTACATAATAATAACTGTACATATTTTTTGAAGAATAATTTTCTTTATGTATTCAGTTCCCTTCTTCAACACATTTCCTTTTCATTTTAGAATTTTTGGATTTAATTAAGGATTTCTGTTATTCTAAAAAACACTAAATGCATTTAGAATTTATACAAAAAGTGGCTAATTTTATTTCTTTAGTAATATGAACATTCAGAAGAAATATGAAATATATATGGTAAAGGCAGGTTACAGAGCTGATGTGGCAGAATTTTTAGAATTTAGAGACACACCGAACACCAAAATCTAGAAATGGCAAAACTTTTAGAATTTAGAGTAGACATTGGAAGCAGAAATTAGAAGGGCACTAGGCAGCAGAATTTAGGATGCACAGAGATTGCATCAGGTGGGGAAAATGTGTACCAGCTCTGTGTTGATGCATTAAGACATATTAGATGAATCTTTTAAATTGTAAGTTTTCAATTTATTTATTAATAAAAACATCCCTATCTATAATGTCTGCCCATGTGATAAGATTAGAAGCGTTTTTGATATTTTCCATGCTTGTGTCTAGTGAAAAGTAGAGAAAATAAAGGGAAGATAAACATGTTAAGATTCTAGTACAGTAAGACCCCGCTTAACGCTGTTTCGGTTTAGCGCTCTTTTATTTCAACCCGGGGATTCTCCGAAATTGTGCGCAGCGCTAGGTTTCCAAATAACATATCCGAAACAGTGTAGTTGTGTTTCTTGCTTGGTGGACGCATTTTTATCATTTTAAACATTTGTTGACATTATTGTAAGTTTAAATTTGTATAATACTATAACGATTAATACAGTGACAAATATTATGATCTTTAGTTTTTATCATGGGTGATAATAAAAAACAAGAAAAGAAAGCAACCAGAAAAAGCATTTCACTGGAAACTCAAATGCAAGTGATTAGAAGATTAGATTCTGGTGAACGTCAATCTCAAATTAGCGCTGCATTGATTTTGGCAACTTCAACAACAATAAGGACAATTCTTAAGAATAAAGAAAAATACTGCCATCGGCAACTGCAACTACGTCAAGCTCTGCAACTAGAATTACCCGTTCTAGAAATAACATTATAGAGGAAATGGAAAAACGACTGTCTATATGGACTGACAACGAAACTGAACACAATATGCCATTAAGCCAATCTATCATAATGCCTTTTAAACAAAAAAGGCAGAAAGAAAATTGGAAACCCAGAATAGACTGAATGATCTGACTGAGAATTTATTTGTTTTTAAAAGTATATGCGTTTATATTGTTTTTATTTTTGTAAGAAATAAATGTTTGATTTTATTTTTATTAAAAAAAACATTATTAAATTTAATGCCTAACCATTTTTTATGCGTCTTCCCCAAACCCCATTATTTACATGTTAAGATAGCCTCGCTTAGCGCTGTTTCGCATTACGCTCTACTTCGATGGAACGTATCCCCCGCGTTAAGCGGGGTCTTACTGTATCAGAAGTAAAACATTCAAATATTATGTTTTCATTGTTCTTCCAGACATTCTCAAAAAAGTAAGAAATTCATTGCAAACTTTCTGTAAAAAACATGCATTATGTGTTGATACCATGGAGACATTTTTCATTTTGTCACATATTTCTCAAATCTTCTAGAATCGTAGGTCTATAAATCTTGCCTTCAAATCCTTCTAAACTTTCCAAGCTGCAAATGTCTAAAATCTTAAAGAAAAATTATCCCTACCAATTCCGCAACAGCAAAAAGTCAGAAGTATTTTGGAAAAAAAAAAAGGGGAGGGAAAAAGTGTAAAATTAATTTTATAGAGAAAACTGGTGCATATTCTGAGACAATCACATGGGAAAAATTCTTTACTATGAAAAATTAAAAAGAAGACATTTTTAATTAATTACATAGCTAATTTTGTTTTGCTAAGAGATTTTTCGTTAATTGTGCTTTATAGCATTATACCTTATTTATTTTTCAGATTATTAAAATATTGTATAAGTTTGCCAAAATGAAACTTATAATATGACAGCAAAAAATAATAATGTTTTATTTTAATCTTATTTTTTAAATATAATTTCAATATATTACCATTATTTTAATGAAATTTATCAATGTTACGATGTTTAAAAAAATCGTCGAAAAATCTCAGATCTCGGAATTAAAAATTTTCTATAGAAGCTGATCTTAAAATCGCCAAACTGTTGATAAGTCGCCAAATTTAGAACCGTTTAATAAAAAAAATTCACATCCCCAAAGCGAAAAGTTGTTTAAGAGCTCTTTATTAGAAAAAATGAATTTCGAAATGCTTATGTTTCACTTCTTGCTTAGAAATTCGAGTATTCCATCATTTATATTAGAAATAGAAACAAATTATAAACCATGAACCCATTCAAAAGATAACTATATATGTCAGTGAATCGCCAAAAATATTCCTCCAAAAGGCTAATTCACACTTGAAATGGCAGTCGTAAAAACAGACAGAAATTTCAGATGATTAAAATTAAGGATTTTCTAGGGATTTTGTCGAAAATTAAGGACCAAAAATTGATTCCAAAAAAATCTAAGGACTTTTAAAGACTCTTAAGGACTGTACGAACCCTGGAAAACCATGAAACACTCATGCAGCCAGCCTGTTCATGGGATTCGAACATCAGACTGAACTACCAGTGTTCAGCAACTTTACCACTTGGCCACTAGTGGGTGCATTAACAATTTCATTTTGTACTGTTTGTTACAATGTACTACACAAAGCACCTTTAAATTTCTAGGAATTATAATCACATTTACAAACACAATGCAAACAGTTAAGGCTACACATGAAGGAATCATTGTTAGGATCAAAAATCAGATAATACCCATTAATATTCTGAAGACATACAAAGCAAAAAAAGGAGCTACAAATAATGACACTGTAAAACCCAAACAATAACTTCCCCACAAAGGAAAGATGGCAGTAAAGTAATTTGGAATGTTTTCATTCAATGTTAATAAATTCATTATGTTGAACTCAAAATTAGTATCCTTTACATTAGAGTTATTTAAAGTTATCAATATAGAGATTATACATATCTTCTAAAAATTTTCCTGCAAGTTATATACAAGACAGCAACAAATGGATTTAATTAAAAGTCCACAATAAAAGTACAGGTTTTTTAACATAATTGCTAGGATTTCAGCAGTAATCTTATGATTTTAGAAATAAGATTTAACTATGATTTTAGAAAAATAATCAGAATTAATATATTGGCCCAATTCCTATTGAAGTACTGATATATTACCCAATATTAATAGAAGAGACCTGCTACAGTGTATTTAGGTAAGATGCAAAAATCACTCCCCCCCCAAAAAAAAAACACCTCTTTCCAATGACATAACTTAGACGATATTAAAATGTAACAGAAGTATTATCTTCTAATAATGTGTCTTCTGTTATCATGGTGGTATCCATTACATATATTCATTAATACACAAGCAGATAAAACAACTGCTAGTTTTCCATAATGGGGTTGTCATTAAAATTCATGTTTTAATTTCACTGACCACATATAATTCAATAATTTTCTACATTTACTACAGAATACAATGCAATAAGTAAAAACATCATAAAATTTATCTTGCTTACTATTAAGAAGAAAATGAGACACATGTATGAAAAAATATGGATGCAAACCATTCAAGAAAGCAGGCATGGTTTTATAAAGAAATACCAAGTTCTTGGAGAGGGAGGAGTCATTCATTTTGCAAAAGAAATTTATGACAGTACCACATCCATACTATTATTTTTTGGTAGATTTAAAGTTATCAATAATTTGAGGAAGGAAAACATACAATACAATAACTCTTTATTAGTCCCCTTTTTTAAGAAGTGCAATTTTTATTTATTTTATGAATCTATTATTACTTAAATTGTGAACTTTTTATTATTTGCAAGGACTGAAGCATCAACTTCTCTGTTTTTTTTTTTTTTTTTTTGAAAAAAATTATAATTTTCTCTGACCTTCTTCAAAAGCTTTTATATCATTCTCGACTTTTCAAGATTTTCCACGTAAATGAATACTGCATAAGTATCACAAAGAAGACAGAATGAATGATTCAATGGAATTTCTGATAATTTTTTTGCATAATCTATATATAAACCACTTATGAAGCACAATAACTATACTGCACTTTATTTAATCTCAAATCATGGAAAGTAAATGAATATATCACATATACTTACAAATAATTTTAAACATAATCATTATTAAAAAATTATTAAAAAATAGAACATCATTTGCAACTTTAAAATACATAAAACACTTAGTGTTAAGAAATATACTTCAGATTTCACTATGGATAGAATCACACAGTCTTATCAACTGTCACTGTAATAAATTCTGTAGAACAAACCTTATATCCTATATCAGAATCTACAGAAGAACAAGATGCTTCCCAAGTAATTTTCATGAAACTTGTTGTATCCAAAGCTACATTAAGATTTCTTGGAGGAGCTAATTTGTCAAATTCTGTAGATGCATAAAGAACGTTCTCTGCTGGACCTACTCCAAGTGGACCAACAAGTCGAATTCTTAGGATGTATATTGTGCAGGAACTAAGATTTGTTAATGTATAATTGGTATCAGTAGTAGTTCCACTTATTTCTAGAAAAGAGAAAAGATGCATTTTTTTAATTCATAAAAAAAAAAAGTTTCCTGTAGAAAAAATAAATGCAACAAAAAAGTAGGTACTTGCATACCAAAATCATTTACTTCTGGGGAAAATACATAGATACCATAAGACCACTGACTAGCTCTCTTGTCATGTGGATGAGTCCAGAACAAAGTAATAGAACTTCCATCCACTTTATGCTTGACATTAGCAACAACTGGCAGTGGAGTTCCTATTCAATAGTACAACATAGTCTTATCAACTGTCATAGAACAGGAATATAATGATCATCAACAACAATAACAATAAAAGTTTCATATTTTAACAGTCGCCCAAAAGGGTTTTTTATCCTCTCGTTGAGCTCACACTTTAATAGTCTGCTGTTACACTCACTCCTGTTAACCCTTTTCTTTTTGTCTTTTCAGCTTTATTATTAAGCATAATTTTCTTTATACTTATCCATATACTACAATTCAACAGCAAAATTACAAAATTTTTAAAAGCAGCATAGCAGTATATGTTTAGAATTCCTGTTGCAGTGTAAGTGTTGGCATGCTCCCCCCCCTGTCTTTTTTCAGTTCACCATATCAATGTTCAGCTTTCAAACTAAGATGGCTTTACAAAACTTTCTTTGGCCTTTTATTATTAACAATGTGTGCATTTACTCTATTTATTAAATATCACATTCCTGGTGCTTAAGCCACATAAAATTCGATTCAACAGCAAGATTACAAGAAATTTATGAACAGCATATCTTTAGAACTTCCAACAGACAGTTTTGTGCACTGAAGATAAAAATGTTTTATTTTGTAGAGTGCTGCTACTGCTTGTTTCGAAATCGTTGAGTTTATTAATCAAAAATTCATTAAAGTTTTATAAAATATGAAATAGATAATAAAACAAATTCAAAATTCAAAATTCTGTCTCCCAAGTGTAAACTTTCAGGTGAAAGACTAACTATGTTACTCAAAGTGGGAAGGCTCTAGGTACTGTTATTTTTTCACAAAGTATACATACATTCGTGCATATTCCTCATTACTTAATTTCTTCAAATATAATACAGGGTGATAATGTCTGGTGGCAAATATTTGAAAAGTGATAGAATGGATTTAAGAGGTTTGATGAAAAATGCCGTTTTGCGAATAATATCCCAGCGATATAATGGATTTAAGTGTTTTGCCGCAAATGCCATTTCGAAAATGTCCCTTTTGGGTAAAAACGTTTATTATAAGTATCTAACATGAGTTTTAAAGCACTAAAATTGAGTTATTCTTGTACTAAAAAAATGGATACTAAATGCACTAAACTTTTATTATGAAAAATACTTTCTTTTAACAATGATTTATTTTTATGTTAAAAATTAACAGAATTCTAATATAAAACAGGCAGCTGTAATTTAAAATAATTTCTCTTCTTCCCTCCCCAAATGTATATTGTGTAAGATAAGAAATAACCTTTTCAATTAAATAATAAAAAATTTTTTGAGAATGACTTTGAATGTTAGAATAATATATATTTCACAACAAGGAAACTAGAAATTCTTTATTTAAAAAGCTTTATGCTGAAAATAAGAACCTGCCAAATTTCAAACTAAATTTCATGTTTATTATGAGATTTTATTCACAATCATTAAATTTTTATATTCCCTATTTTTGAACATGGGCATAAATAAAAATAAAATCTCAAATCTACTTTCCTTCATTAGTACCATTAGAAAACAATATAATTATATAAGAGAAGGAGAATGTAATTTTTAATTGCAAAAGCCTAAAATTTAATTCATGTATATAAAGTAATAAGTATAGAATTTTAAGCATAGACATGTACACTAATGCTAAAAATTAAGCAATTAACAAACTTTTTTGAATTTTTGAAAAAATCCTGTTCCTAAACTCGAAATTATGTACTCAAATAATAAAGAATCATTATTTGAGCTCATAGCTTCCACTTTTGTTTTTTGTTGCGACCATGATAAATACAAAATGTGGTTTGTCACTCCGTTTTTACTTTGTTTACAGACAATAGTGTTTATTGTACTATAATACTACTACCATGTATTATAGTTCCATAAACTTCCACAATTTAAATAGATTTTATGAGCAATGCAGTAGAATAAGTTACCATTAAAATCTAGATGACAGATTGAAGTGAAGAATTATTGGTACAGTACACTACCGATTATCTGCGGATTTGGGTGGCGCGGCCGCCACAGATAACAAAAATCGCGGATAATCCGAAAAAAGCTAAACACGGGTATAGCAAATTCCAACTTTGAAAAATCGTTTTATGTACAATAAAACAAACAGCAAAAAATGTTTAACTGACGCTTAATATTTTAGTATATTGCTCAAAACTAACCTAAAATGAATTTTGTTAATGAAAACAAAAAAGTGCTTTGTACTTACGAGAGGCGTCAAGGATACACGGAAAAATTAATACATATGTACTATTTTAATACTGTAATGTATTATGTAATTACAAAAGCATAACTGTAAAACTACACCTTTTTGAAGAAATCAGTAATTTGTGTTTGCTTCTTGCTTTGGAAGCATTATTTTCTCTTGATCCAAGATTGCATTTTTCGTAGCGTAAGTTTTTTGGCTAACTCCGCGTTGTCTTGTTTTTCCAAATAGCTCAGCAGTCCGTCGACTTGTTGCAAAGCTGCTTCGTGAGTCTTCTGCATCTGCACAATGGGCTCTTCTTCATCATCCTTCATTCTTGGTCTCTCTCCTTGCTTTCTTCACAATTTCGGCATCTGTCCAGCGTTCGAAGCCAGGTTTGTTGACATCACACTCCAACCACTCGTTAATGTTTAAGACTTCAACGTTCTCACTACCCGGAACTGTTTTCGTCAAAGGTTGGCCGTGGGCGTGTCTTCTCTCCTTCAATCAAAGGAGGTTGTTGGTTCACAGAGTCCCACGCAGATTAATATGAGATGCTGGTTTTGCATATGTTCCAAAACTCTTTCAGATCATAACCTTCTTCAATTTTGGTCATTAGCAGCTTGGTTCAGCATGTTCTCTTCATTGTCGCAATGACTCCTTGGTCCATGGGTTGGATTAGCGCAGTAAAGTTTGGGGGGAGAAACTTTGCAAAAATTTGTCCATCCGAAGACTTTAGTACGCTTGTTGCTGGGTGAGAAGGTTCGTTGTCGATCAATAGCACAGCTTTTTCAGGCAGGTTTTTTGATTTAAAATGTTTACGCACATGAAGAACAAAGATTTTTTCGAACCATTCTGGAAAAATGTTTCGGTTCATCCAATCTTTTTTTTTTTGGTTAAAGTAATCAATGAGCAAATTTTCTATCCTTCTGCCTTTGAAAGATCTCGTTTTTTTGGACTTTTTTGAAGAAATCAGTAATTTGTGTATCAGTAACACCTTTTTGAAGAAAATCAGTTCTCAGTGACAACAAGCCTAAAGTTTATGTCCACTGGTAGCGTTGCTGCAAGACATGATAATGATCCTTTCCTTGCTGCTTTTATAACCTGCCACTTTACTTTCACTTTCAAATGCTAAAGTGCGAGTGGGAAGACATTTCCCCAAAAGTCCCGATTTGTTGGCATTGTAAATTTGTTCAAAAGATAGCTCTTCTTTTAAACCAAATTCTTCAAATTCATGGTGGAAATCGTCGGCTGCTTGCCGGTCACCACTAAGTTTCTCCCCATGAAGTTCGATTTCTCGAATTCCATGTCGCTGCTTAAAACGAGTCAGCCAGCCAGAAGATGCATCAAAATTTCCTTTCAGACCTAATAACTCAAAAAAGGTTTTTGCCTTCGCTGCAATGATAGGACCATTTAGAAGAGTACCCTCTTTTCGAACTTGAGCTACCCACTGTCAATACCGTGTCTAGCTCGTCAAAGGTAGAACCCTTCATAGTTTTTCGCATTTTCATTGCAGAAGCACCGTCCGACATTGATGCAAAGTTCACAAATTTGTTGTTTTGCTTTAGAATGTCACGCATTGTTTTCTGCAATTCCATAATCCAATTCCATCTGCTACCTTGTAGCGCTGTTTGCTACTTTGGAAATTAATTCTAGTTTTTGCGCAGTCATCAACACAACCTTCTTTCGTTTTCCTGACATTTTAAATCGGAACCACACAAAACCAAAGAGCACTAAACACAATAAAAGATAAGAAAATTAACTCGACCGGTTCGCAAACATAGAGGCTTAAACTACAATGGCGAGTGGGAGGAAGTCGTGTTTAAGATTAAGACAAGAGAGGGCGGTGGAGCGGGCACTCAAGGTGAGTAAAAATCACTTATCATCATAGAGGAAGGTTCTGAGAATCCGCGGGGAGGTTCAAGAGCCCTGCATAATAAGACGATGTTAGCAATTTAACGTTTCACCCAGTTTGTGCATTTTTATTTCTTTGTTTTACATTGTTAAAAAAAAAAAAAAAAAAAAAAAAAACTTTCTGCAGCACGGATAATCGAGAGTCTACTGTATCGGGCATCCAAGAGCCATGATACCTGATGAAGATTGGTACTTGGCATTTTTAATTATGTAGAACCGGACTGTTATAGTCTCACAGCTCTCTGTTGTCACTAGAATATTAGTTTTAAGAATTACTATTTCTAAAAGGTTCAATGAGAGATGTTCTTCACCCAGAAGATCAGTTGTTTGCATCTTACTCAGTTTCCCACACAAAAGATAGAAAGGCAAATATGGTGCACAGTATATTACCTTTTGACCCAACTTCAGCTGGCCTAATTTCTCTTTTGTAACAAGTCTAGATTTAGGATAGAAAATGATTCTCAATGCACTTTTATCTGGAAAGACTTCTGCTTGAAATTAGTGCTATTCCTCTAATATTAAAAAGGGAGTACTGGGCAGCAGATGTGTCACTGTCTGGGCAGGCATCATGTTAAAAGGTTACACACCATTCTATTTGCATAAAATAGGCTCACTGAGTAAGAAGTATAGGGGAGAAAAGGGGGGGGAAGAAAAAAAAAGAGAACTTAAGAGTCCTACATCAGATTTTCCAGCAACACAGCTAGCTGTCAGTTCTTTTTTAGGGATGACAATGCTCATCAACACTGAACTCAAGTAAGAGATGAATATTTTCAAAGTGAGAATGTTCTGCAGGTAGACTAGGCAGCCCAAATCTTCTGATCTGAAACTGAAATGCATTTTGGAGAGTTACTACAAGTCACTGTCTCCAAGAACCATTCAGAAGTTAAAAACTGTTCTCGTGCAGGAATAAGTGTAGCTGAAACAGGGATTTGCCCACTGTCTTGCTAACAATATGAGGACTTTCAATGTGACATGTATGTTTGAAACAGGTGATCATACACCCTATTACTTTCATTTTATGCACCACATAAAATGTCAGTTTAGTGTATTCCTGCACTCATGAGTATAACTCATAATTATGACTGGGTATTTTCACTATTGCATGGAAAACATTGCTGTTTTATATTAATCTGTACTCATACCAAATTTTATTACATTCTGTACCATATTTTTTTGATAAATACAGAAAACGGTATTTATTTGCTTAATTTTAAATGTAACTTTCAAACTACTCAGAAATGACCACAAAATTTAAGAATTAACTTACATCTGAAAACTGCAATCTACATGAATTTTAATTTAAAAATTACTAAACTAATTATTCTCAAAAATATATTTATATTAAATAAACAAAAATATTATTCTAATTAGCTGCATCAGAGTTTATGTGTATATGGCTTATCTACTTCAGCTGGAACTTGTTTTGTTGCAGCTTTTCACTCTTCATGTTAATTTCATTTGTGGTTACAACACAACAGTAGTTTCTAAATCATTTTAGATTTAAGAAAGGCTAGCTAAGTACATCATAGAGAGTTTGGACATTCCCAAAATACAAACCTTTAGTAGTAACTTCAATTTTTTCATCAGGTCCAATAAAACTTTCCTTAAAGGAAAATATTCGAAATTCATATTTTGCACCTGGTGCCAGGTTGCTCACTGGAATAAATATGAAATTTAGAAATAATAATATATAATATACAAAAAATATTAATACACTGCATATAAAATACAGTCAAACTTTTATTAACAGACCCTCCTCCTTAATGGATAGCTCCTGAATCTTTAAACCCTCAAAGTAGGAGATAACTTCACTGTCACTTAATGGGCACTTATTGATAGTCCATTATCCTATGAATATCTGTTAATGGGATATTTGACTGTATTACATAATTAATTTTTTCTAATACTATTAATGCAAATAAATGTTTAAATTTACCTATGATCTGAAGGAAAGCAGCTTAATAGCGTGGGCTTCCAATATTAATGACTTATGTTGTTCAATTCCAAATAGCAAAAAACTGACAACATTTCACTTCCCCTGTTCATAAATGGTGCCAACAACTGCACTGTTTAAGCACAAGTTTGAATTGCAGAAGGTATGGATGCTTGCTAATGTATACTTCCATATTTAGAATGAGGGCATTTAAAAAATTGTTTCAGCCAAAAATCTACCCAAGAGGTTGGTGGTAGCAAAATATGTACAGCAAAAAGTGTGATGAGTCTATGATGTTCTCTGATAATGCGACCCTACTATTAAATTTCAAGTTAACTCATTGGTTTGATAGTTTGGATTGTTTGATTATGGCAAAGCATGCAAGGGATAGCTGCCAGGGATGCCTTCATGAAGGACTTTTTAAGGAAAAAGGCCTTCTATCCATGTTACACATGAGGAAAACTATGGAAACAGCCATGCAGTCAGCTTGTTTGACTGAGATTGAACCGACGTCGAACCACAAGCATTCAGCAAATGACTTGGCCATTTATTTGATGAAAATGTTCCTAAAGGCAACTTATAAGCATTTTCTATTTTATGCCTTAGACAAATACAGCATAAGAAACTCATTTTACAGCACTGAGTTATTTTTAAATCTTAGCCCTTTATCTTTTATTAATTTTAAAATTACATCATTATCTAATAAAATTTGTTTCCCTAAATATATTCGGAAATTTTCATATTGTCATGACAAAATTCTCTAAGGGCTGCATTTTTTTCTCTGCAGCAATTATAAATATGGGATATACATGCAAGTCAAAATCTGAAATACTTCAGCTTCCAAACTTATCAGATAAAGGATACATAACCTATACTTATAATATGCACTTGGCCTTCCTCTAAATATGATCATTATTCCATTCAATATTGATTTCTGTCATAACTCTAGTCAATCAAATCGGATACACTGGATTTAAAGTGAATAAAATCAAGTTTTCGTTGCTATTTAATTATTCGTTGCCACTTATTAACAATGATTCAAATTAAATGAAATGTAACTATATTAACCGAATAAAATTTTGAATTTATGAATGCAAAGCTTTACCATAGCTCAAAACAGCAGCAAGTATTGGGGGGGGGAATGGAAATGTAAAGATTGCTCAGTCATGAATATTAATACCTACTTTTTGCTGAGAATTGTTTAATACTATTACGGTTAATTTAAGCAACAGTTCTTTTCCAGGGTTCGTACACATTTCTGCACAAGGAAATTAAGTACTTTTAAGGACTTTTAAGGACCATTAATGAAAAAATTTAGGACCTAAGAGCAAATGGGAACTGAATAAGTTCAATTAAAAATATTATTCTATACCTGAACATGAGTGGATGCATTATTAAAACATAACTTATAACGTAATTATTAATATTTTGAGAATTAAATTAATTTATGAAATTATCAATTCCATTAAATATTTTACACTCATAATACTGGACTATCGAAATAAGATAAGTGCTTTTAGTTAGTTTTTCTAGAGTTACTTTCTTTTTCTTTTTTTTTTTTTAATGTCTCTTTTGTCAATACTGATATCGGAATCAGTCTAGAGGTTTATAAATGTAAGTAATTTTCATTCAAGCACATAGGTAAAATGCGCTGTAAATCATAATCATCATTATTCATAACAAAAGACCGGCGGCTTGTTGTCACCACTCCTTCTCGCTATAGAGAGACCTGCTGATAGAAAACCTGAAAGGCCTGATGTAGGCAAGTTAGCAGTTTTAAAGTAGCTGACCTCTTTCTGTCTGTTAGTGTTGTAGCTTGTTAGAGTCCAGAGTGTAACTCAGTTAATATACTTAAGTTTCTATTATCCTCAGCATTAGCGGGTAAGTTTTTGCATTAGCTCACAGATGCAAAGAAAAGTTTCATATGAATTTTTCTTTTTGTGTTTACCTTGACACGGTAAAGGTTAACACATAATAATTTACATAATAATAACTAACATATCTTGAAGAAATTTCTCTCTCTTTAATATTTATTTTCTTTTTCAATACATTTCCTTTCACTTTAAATTTTTGGATTTAATAAAGACTCTGGTATCTAAAAGACTAAATGCATTAGAGTGTACGGAAAAGCTGCTAATTTTATTTTTAGTACTACGAACAGTCAGAGAAAATGACATACATAGGTAAAGTTTGGTCCGCGAGCGGTGTGGCATAATTTTTTAACTTCGGGACACACTGAACAACAATATCTAAATGGCAAAACTTTGAATTCAAGCAGGCTTGTAGCAGAATTAGATCCCACGATACTGGTCAAGTGACAAAATGCTACTCCAACTCTGTGTATGAGCATTAAGACTATTAGATGACTCTTTGAATGTCAGCTTCATTCTTATTAATAAAGAAATATTTCTACATGCCTGTCATATGATAGATTAGAATACTTTTGATATTTTCCAGCTTGAATCTAGTGAACAGTATAGAAAATAAAGGGAAGATAAAAAGGTTAGAAAGCGATTCTAGAATCAGAGTAAAACATCGAATATTATGTTTCATTTTCAGAGTTCTCAAAATGTAAGAAACTTTGTTTCTACCATGGAGAATTTTTCTGAACTTTAGAATCGTGGGTCTATAAATTTGCCTAAAATCTTCTAAACTTTCCAAGCTTCAATGTCTAAAACCCTAAAAAAATACCCTGCCAATTCTGAACAGCAAAAAGCCATAATGATTTTTAAAAATCCGGAGGAAAAATGGGGAATAATTTTATAGAAGAAAATTGATGCTTTCTGAGAATCTATCATTATGAGAATGGTAAAATTCTTACCATGAAAAAAATTAAAAAGACATTTAAATTAATTACATAGCTATTTTGCTTTTGCTAAAAATCTTGTAAACTGTGCTAATAGCATTAATCTTGCTTATTTTCTATTCAAAAAAATTGTATAATATGTGGCCCAAAATGGAATTTAGAATATGACAGTCAAAAATAAAATGCTTTATTTAATGGTATTTGTTATAATAATTCCAATATTTCCATTATTTAATGAATTTATTAGTTAGGAATTCTAAAAATCGTCAAAAATTCCAGATCTCGGAATTAAAAATTTTCTAAGAAACCGATTTTAAAATTGCCAAATGTTGATAACACTATTTAGAATGTTTAATAAAGAATTCCATCCCCAAAAGGGAACGTTGTTTGAGAGCTCTTCATTACAAACAATGAAATAATTTGAATGCTATGTTTCACTTCTTGCTCAGAAACTTGAGTATCCCACCATTATTTATATTACAAATAGGAGCAAATTATAACTCATGAACCCATTCAAAAATTAGCCGTACGAACCTTGTTTCCTCATACACATAACAAAATACAGTGGTGCCTCTCATAATGAATGTAACCCATTTTAGGATTGTATTCATCATGTAGGACAGTTTATCATCGGTTATTAAAAAAATAATTTTATCAGTTCCTCAACGAGAAACATTGTAAAAGAATTTCAGAGAACATTTTACATATTACCATTTTCAAAACATTAGAAATTTACTATCTGATCAACAATAAAATATTTATATACACAAAGTTTTGCAGTGTTTTAATTCAGTTTAGTCGGAATCTTTTTAGTCTTCCACAAGAATAGGTAAATTCAGTTGTCTTTGATATTCTTGATCATCAGCCTTAAAGAGTCTTTATTTCAAGAAGTTAGTAATCGCCTCCTTTTTCAATTTAGTCCTGAAACAGTGCATGGCATTTTTATGAATGTATCAACTGTTCAATTCAGCTGAGCTTACTGGAAAGCCAGTACCTGGCTGTGGTTCTGCACCTCTAATTAAAAAAAAAATTAAAACATCTAATTTCTGCTTCTTTAGAAGGTCCTTGATAGTTCCAGCAGATATAAATCCTACTGCAAATATCAAGGACCTTCCCCTCACTGTAAGAAACTCTTCTGGGTTTTCTCATGTTTCTGGACAAAGAAGCTTGTAGTTTTTCTGGTAATATAACATTAAGAAATATTTTTATGTACCTGTTCCCCTGCTCATTATCTTAGAACTGACAATTTTTTACATTTACTGGGTATTAAAAACATAAAACAATTTATCTCCACGTTTCACGTATGATGAAATTCCAATGTAGTTCATAAGGTAGGATATTTTTCAGCCCTTGTGTACTTCCTTTCTGCAACCTGCTCATCAGTGAAGCATATACGATGCACGCACTGCACAGTCAAATTTGACAGATTCTGTCTCAGGAGCTAAAAACGATTTTAGGACTGTACACTACAGATCACATTTATATGGCTAAAAATAAATATATGCATACAAAAATTATTTATGAGAACATACCAGTTGCTTGGCTTCCAGTAATATTTGTTGTGTTCACGAAATGGTCACTGATATACTCCGGGCGATATACAATGGTATATCCACTGCCTTTATGAAAGGCATGATCCCATGCTAGGGTGACAGTACTGTTAGTTGACGCTACTTCATGAAGATTTCGCACAGGGCTTAAAACAGCCTCTCTTGCAAATTCAATGACACATGGTGCAGACATCTTACCTTCTAATTCTCCATTAAGTGAAGTCATCTGAAATTATAATATGAAACTTATTGAAAATTAAGTGATTATATATTAGCTCTTCACATTTATGCACTTAATGACATAAACTCTAGCATCTGTGGAGAATTTATTTTACAGTTCATATATATGAGTAAATTGCAGTTGGATTTATGAATAAATATGTAACAACACCCTTCCCTCTAAAAAAAAAAAAAATCTGAAAGTAAATTGCTTTACAAAGGTAATTAGATACAGTCAAAAGTCGTTAATCCGGACTCGTCGGGACTTCGGTGATTCCGGATTATCGATTTTTCCGGATTATAGATCATCAGTTTAAACCTGGTAAGATGGCATGCAGAAATTATAAAATTAAAAATATGAAACCGTAATTTCTGAAATAAAGAACAATTATGATCTAAAGGTATCAAAATTTCACAAAAAAAAAAAAAAAGCTTTAATATTATTTTTTTACTTTATTAAACATTTCTTTTAATGTAAGTGTTTAAGTTGCTTCGTTTTTTATGTGATAATACATTCTCTTTAATTCTATAAACAACATATTTCTTGTTCAGTTAAAAGTTCCATGTCAAGTCCTGTAATTGCTGTGTCTACTGACTAATTTAATCGAAATTTTGTTTTCATAACCTCTGTCACTTTCTTCGCTATCGGAAGCGAATTATAATGACGAGGAATTTGATTTAAATCATATCAAAGACGGAGTACATCGAGATGAAATACTACATTTATAAGGAATTATAAGCCAAATAAAATAAAAACATCTGCCCTGAAGATAAGGATAGTGCTGACAGATCAACTTCCAATTCATTGCACACGGCGTTAAAGATAAACAAAGTTTAGATAAACAAATGTTAAAGTTTAGATAAACAAAGGATATGCCTTTATCCCATTTTTTGCAGCAATTCCACTTTTGTTTAATGAACTTCGAACATACTTTCGCTTTGTAGATCCTTTACATATTAATAAATATATATCGAAATTCTTTTGACATAATCGAAAGTTCAAGCTTACTTTTATAAAATTGCTCTAACAGTCTGCAAAAAATAATACGCCGGATCCAATTCGAAGATTAAGGAACAACGCAATCTGCAACATTAACTGAAATAGATATTAGATAATTTTAGCTTGCTTATACTGTCCATTATACATTAAACGCGCACTCGTAAACATATTTTGCACGCGCACAAGCATATTCCGCAGCCGTAAAGCTTACGCGCATGCGTCAATGCGACGCATGAAGAAAGTTTGTAGCTTTGAGGTCCGGATTAAGATCATTCCGGATTA